TCTCTGTAAAAAATCAATAAAATATATTTAAAAAATAAGAGTCAACTTTATAACTTTAAAAAAAAAGAAGAAGAAGCCCTGGTCTAGAGCAGGGATCAGCAAACTGCAGCCTTACAGGGAGTTTCCCGACCCCTGCTCTGGAGGAAAGGGGAAGAGTGGTTGTGAATAAGATTTTCAGAGCCTGAACTCTTTCTTCCTCTTCCTGCAGGAGTTGAGTTTGAGATCGATCTGCCCAACAAGAAGGTTTGCATCGACTCTGAGCACAACGTGGACACTCTGCTGGAGACGCTGAAGAAAACAGGGAAGACTGTTACCTACATCGGCCCCAAATAGCGAGGGCCTGGGTCCCTGGCCCGCAGGATGGACCAGAGTGGGCAGGTGGGTGAGGCCCAGCACTTCGCCAGAATAGTTCATTATCTAATGCCAATCACGTGTCAGGGAACCCTAGCAGCGCCTGTGAGTAGAGGTTGCCCTGTGCGATGTCTCCCAGGGCTGCTTTTATGACATGGATGCATTTCACAATCAGCCAGGTCTAAGTAGCAGTGACCCTGAGCAGTGTGCTTTCTTTTTTAAAAAAAAAAAATATATATTTTATTGATTTTTTTACAGAGAGAAAGGGAGAAGGATGGAGAGTTAGGAACATCGATGAGAGAGAAATATCGATCAGCTGCCTCTTGCACACCCCATACTGGGGATGTGCCCGCAACCAAGGTACATGCCTTTGACTGGAATCAAACCTGGGACCCTTCAGTCCACAGGCCGACGCTCTATCCACTGAGCCAAACCGGTTAGGGCAGCAGTGTGCTTTTTGCTTTGATAAGCTGACTGTCCATCAGAGATGACACCTGTGCCCTGGGCCTTGTGCTCTGTGCTGACCAGGTAGGTATGTAGACTGAGGCCGAACAGTCGTGTGTTTAAGCTGGATATTCCCACTGATTTTCTGAAATCCAGGAGGCCAGTAAGAGGCACTGTGCCAGTGCTCTTCCCTAGGGAACCAGGGCAGACAGCACTCGTCCATCCAGCATGCCCTCTGTGCCCAGCCACAGCCTCAGAACCCTTCACGGCACAGCCTCCTGGCGTCACGCCCCACGTAGTGCGTGGGCTGCATGAATGGCAGTGATTGCCATCCCTGTGACTGAGGAAAATGAGGCCTGCAGAGGGGAAGTGGCGTGACTAAAGCCCCATCCAGGTGAGTGGCAGAGGCAGGATGGGCGTCAGGCATCCTGAACCCGAGATCTGTAATGGCTGGTGGCATTGTCCCCAGTGGCCGTGGAGAGCTCCCCAGGTAGGGCGGCCAGCCACAACTGACCGGTGGACCATGTCCGTCCCCGTGAGTACAGCCTCCTTCCTAAAGGTGCCCATTGGAATCTGAGCCAGGGCAGTGTCCTGTGCATAGAGTGACCTCACATGCTCATGCCTACAACCCACATTCAGGATGAGCACAGGATGGACGGTCGGAATTCCAGGGTTCTGAGTCCAGCCCCGCCCTCATTGCATACCGTGACTTTGGACACTTCTGCTTACGTGCTGAGACTCAGCCTTCCCTTCTGTAAAAATGGGGCTGCAACTCTCCTCCGCTTTCCTGCCTTGCAGGGGTTACTGTGAAATCTCTCAAAGAGGCTGGCGGCTCCAGGTGCTGCGGGCCAGTGTTCGTCATTATCCCTGCATCCCTAGGGTTCTGTAGCGGGTGGAGGGGGCTGAGGGATGGACGGAGGGAAGGAAGACAAAAGCTTCCCGAGCTGGTCAAACACATGGGGAGCCCCAGTGCCCACAATGAATTGGAACCTCCTGGCCTGCCGGTTGTAAACCATGCTTGGCTTAATGTTTTTCTCACAGTATTTTTAAAAATTGAGGTGAAATTCACATAACACGCAATTAACCATTTTCAAGTGTATCATTCATCAGCATTTAGTGTATTCACCATGTTGTACAATCACCACCTTTCCCTAGATTCAGAGTTTTTTCATCACCCCAGAAAAAATTCCCTGTACCCATTAAGCAATCTCTCCCACTGCCCTCCCCCCACCCCATTTCCTGGCAATCACTAATCTCTCCGCCTCTGGATTCACCTGTTCTGGACATTTCATAGAAAAGGAATCATACAATGTGTGACCTTTTGTGTATGGTTTCTTACACTTAGCGCCATGTTTTCAAGATCCATCCAAGCGTAGCATGGGTCAGTACTGCATTCCTTTCTGTGGCTGGGTAATGCTCATAGTTTTTATTTATTTATTTTGGATTTTATTTTTTAATCGTAGGAAGTGTCACACACCTACAAGTAGAGTTGTAAAAATGAATCCCCATGTACCCATCACCCAGATCCAACCATTGTCCAGTCACTGCCACCATTATTTCATCTATGGCCTCTCCCCCCGCCCGTACTGTCCCACAGAACATTCTAGACATCATATGCTTTTATCTGCACATAGGTCAGTAACCGTGTGTAGTACTGGAAGGCTCCCCAGATTCGGGTCACGGCACTGGGTGAGAATCGCCAGTCAAGCGCTTTACCCTACACACCCAGGCAGCATCCCATCTGTCTGAGTCTGCTTACGAGTCTGCTTAGGGGCCCCCAGAGACTGATTTCAGGTTTGGGAACAAGAGCTAGAATGGTTGTTGGTTATGAAGCCACCTTGATCATCTCTTGGCGGGTTCGTTTGTCCAGGATGCTGTTCATTGCCTTCCCAGTGTAAGTTGAAGCAGGACAGGGAGTGCTGTCCCAGCAGCCCCCAGAGGTCCCCAGAAGAGGCCTCAGCTGTGATTGGCTTAGCAAGGTTACTGGGCTCCAGTCAAGCTGGAAACCACAGATTGGGAGCAGTGAGCAGGGCTAGACACCGGGCTTTTGGTTCTTGTCCAGCACCTGGTTTCCCACCTCCCCTCCCACAACCGCCTCTTAGGGAACCTTTACTGCTTCTGCAATGCGTCCACGTACACAGCAGATGGCGCCCTTGTCCCACCTAACGTCTCATCTCTTCCAGGACCCTGATCCTCTCCTGCCTTCCAGACAGATCTGGAACCTGGCACTCCTGCCCAACGTTGGGAGTTCCTGCGGAGACCCTCCCTAGCTTCCCTGCAATAAAGTCAAACTGCTTTTGTTGATGTTGTCTCGTATGTAGTCCTGATGTCACTGGCTTACGCGCTGTGCTGTGATGCTCACACGTTGCTATGAAGGAGGTAACTGCAGTGTTTACTTGGTTGGAGCTCTGAGAGCTCCTAACTGGGAGTAAGAAACCCAGTGGATCTGGATGCTTTGCTGTGTGATATTTTACAAGTCACTCACCTTCTCTTTTTTTTTTTTAATATTTTTTTTTTGTTTTTTTACAGAGGGGAGGGG